TTTGATGTGTAAAAAAAATATGAATGCGATTAGTGCTTTAATATTTACATTAAGACAGATTGGCATTAATGGAAGAACTGATTTCGCTAGTTCTCTTTAAATTACTAGCAGTTCTTCTAATTTATATCGTCACTGAGAAATTACTACCACCACTGTTTGGATATATTCACATTGTCGGAAAAATTACACTGTTTTCAACAAGATGATAAACATTGGGTGGAAATTTGAGAGAACCTGATGCATTGTCACATGTTAACAAATAAACTCTGCTGTGAATGGTTACTCTTTGATGGCTGTCACTATCTGACATTCCTGCAATTTGATTGGTACCAACAAGACATCGTCGGGGTTGGGTGAAAAACTACATCATTTTGTCAGGCGTGTGTTGGGTTTGGAGCACCGCAACTCGTGCAACCTTGTCAGGCTAATCTGTTACCCTGACCAGATTCAATTAAAACTTGACAGAATTGCCTGCACACTAACAATCAATTGTGACTGATGTAACTATATTGATGCAAAATAGTAAGTGTGAGAATTCTGATGCTAACATATTTACTAACTACCCGTAGTCATGGACTGAGGCAAAGGTCTGCCCTGCTACAATCAGAACAGCCTGTGGAGCTCCTTTAGCCATTAGAAAATGAAAGTTGTCTGATTCAGAGTACTCTACTGTTAAATCATTTTGTGAAATACAACTCCAGTGGGGTGTCTGCAAATGGTGGCTGTATGCACGCATGCACACGCACACACAAAAAGAACAAATGCACACATTTTCATTTTCTATTAGATTATTTTGATTTTAGATGCCAGCTTGTCAAATTTCCCTCTATTTTGCCATTTCACTTTTGTTTGTACGTACATTATTTCGCCATAGTTCATAACATCCAGGCCGCGTCATTAAAAAAAAAGAACAATTTCCACTTACCCAATACCAGTTCTATTTAAAGGTACATGTTCAGCTTGTACATGTTATACAAAGAAAGGGTCACGCAAAAATGGCCCCTGCATTGTTAAACTCTGTTTTTACTAGCCATGCTCTGAGCTACATACAGCAACATGAAGATGTGAATAGTAGATCAATAGGAACTACCGGGGTACATAATTTGCAGTCACATAATCAACTGTCCAGTTTTCTGTGGGGGCTCTGTTTCATATGATATACATGGACGACAAAGAAAGAACTGTACGCAGTTCACACTTCCAACACACAATCAAGTATCGGCTGATTGACAATATAATCTGCCTTTTCCGTAAAACATTCTACGACTGAGCCTTCGTTGAAATAAGATCTTTGCATCACTAAACTGCATTTCAAACTCTGTTGGGGTGAACATTTGTATAATATCATACTGATATCTGCGCAAATGTGCGTGTTAAACATTGTGGCTAAATTGAATATGTACCAAATTAGACTTTAGTGTAATTTTTTAGATTTCATGCAACAGACAATATCTCCCCATTCGTGCTTTGTACACACTGAATCTAAAAAATTGGACAACTAGTATGCAAATTAGCTAATTCATATAACAGTGCAGCTGCCAAAAAACTATTTTCTAGGAGAGTCGGAATAGTGTTAACTCACCACAAGTAAGAATTCAATAGACAAGCAAGGCTTAAATAATTTCTTTATGTTATTTTTTGTTAACAATTGTCAGCATCGGATTGACTTGGTACTTTATTACAAGCTTTTTTTTTTTTTTTACAAATAGAGTACCAAAAATACCCAAACAGATCACAATATTGAAGCAATATGGATAATGTACAACGATCATGCCAGTGTGAATGAGTGATATATAATGTTACATGTACAATAATCCACACTACAGAATGAGCAAGATATAGTAATACAAGTATACAAACTACCTTCATATTATCAATGGGAAAAATCCACCTCTAAAAATCTACTTGTAAAAATCTCAGCAAAAAATTACAATACAATTTGCTTTATATTTAAAAAAAAAAAAAATTTAAGAAATTTCTCCATTCAAAGCTTGATTGCCACTATATTTCATACAACGACCAAAATTTGATAAATAAAGTACTCGCATACATTTTGTACACTTGAATGAACTCTTTAAGTAAAGAATTATAAATTTTTTATTTCGTTGGGGAGACCGTGTGAAAGTGCAGTCTAAAAAGTCTCTAATTTTACAAGCTGTATTAGTGCCAATATCTTGTTTCCATTATGTAATATTTATCTTTTCCAGATTCTTCAGGACTTGGCAAATAAACTCAGATTGCAACCTGAGAATACTTTTTAAACTGCCCATCTTTAAATAATCTGCAACAATTAAATCTCAATACAAACAGTGTTAATCATAATTGATCAAAGTGTTAAAACGCCTTGGAAAGCTGTTATTTTGGAAGCCATTTACAAAATAATGATATATGTGCGATTGCACACAATTTACCAGACAAAGCCTCAAATTACGTATTCTGTATTAAGCAGGCCTGACACAAGATTGGTAATCACTATGAAAATTTCAGATTTGTTGGTTACTTAAAAGTTAAAACATAAAAATGAACAAATAAAAATAACCCTGCTTTTTAACAAAAGTAATATTTGATTATTTTAATGCTGATTTAACCGTGTGCTATACATCATCTAAGTATCCCACATTATTTTAACATCAATACATGGTATATCTCAATCTTGACTGTTTAAAAGTACTATAGTCCAGTGTTTTTTTAATAATTAAATTAAAGTGTTGATTTCTCACTCTAGTTATTCTGAAATATTAAAGGACAGTGGTCGTCATACTGAGCGTGTTAGAATTTTGTGTACACATAATTTATTTTGCACAAGCTGTATATGCTATGAGCCCCATACCGAACAGAACGCTGCCCAACGACCACCGCCCTTCAATTATTTGTTGAAATGCAACTTATTTTGGCTAGGCTAAAAATGAGCAAATATTGTCACCCTGAGCCATAAATAAATTATCTTAATTTTCATAAATGCAAATTTGTCTGGGAAATAGTATGGAACCACACACATACATGTTATTAAAAATGTTAAAAGTCCCTGTAAAAATGTTAGTGCCATTGAACTATGATGTCACTTCAATACAGCTGTAAGTGAAAGCTGTCACACAGTAAAAAAAGGGAAAACTTAAATTGCAGTAAAAACATCTGTATATGCAATTGATTCATCTTGCGCAAGCAGTGGAGGACATGATTTTTTTTTTTTAGAAATGGAATCTCGCAATTACAATCACACAACAGAATTAGGATCACCAGGAATTGATCGAAAGAGAAATGAGGAAAAAAATATTAACGGTCAGCCATCTCAAATCCAATAATGAAACGAAATGATGTGCATCAGTAACCCATAATGTGTGATGTTGACGCCAAGTTCGAATGAAATTAATCCAGGTATGTCTGAGGAATTTTTGACAACCCATTGACATTTCATTGTTCTTGGAAGACAGAGTTTGTTGCCAATTGGTTAAATCATATGTGTAACATTATGTTGTGTCAATATTCCAACTTTGACCAAAATTGGTCCAGGCACATCACAGAAGTGACATTGGATAGATAGATTAACACATACACACATACAACCCAAATCCCAGGGCCCTATTTTCATACAGTACTGCAGAGCAGGGATCAATAAAGAAACCACCTATTTACAAATGTCAGGTTCAATTTAAACCAATGAAAGCCCCCAATGTCACAATAGAAGCCACTCAATGCTCCTGTGTCACACTTCAACAAATGAAACTATTCAATGCCTTCCAGTCCACATTTAAAACAATGAAAGCCAAATGTTCCAAGTTCACATCTGAACCAATGGAAGCTTCTCGGATCAAATTGAAAACAATGAAAGCTGCTAAATGTTCCAAGTTCACATCTGAACCAATGGAAGCCTCTCAGGTCAAATTGAAAACAATGAAAGCTGCTAAATGTTCCAAGTTCACATCTGAACCAATGGAAGCTTCTCGGATCAAATTGAAAACAATGAAAGCTGCTAAATGTTCCAAGTTCACATCTGAACCAATGGAAGCTTCTCGGATCAAATTGAAAACAATGAAAGCTGCTAAATGTTCCAAGTTCACATCTGAACCAATGGAAGCCTCTCAGGTCAAATTGAAAACAATGAAAGCTGCTAAATGTTCCAAGTTCACATCTGAACCAATGGAAGCCTCTCAGGTCAAATTGAAAACAATGAAAGCTGCTAAATGTTCCAAGTTCACATCTGAACCAATGGAAGCCTCTCAGGTCAAATTGAAAACAATGAAAGACACTCAATACCCCAGGCTACATTTTAAAGCGAGAGGGTATTCACCTTCACCTGTACACGCGCGGGAATTGAATTCCGAGCAACGATCTCAACACACGCTAAAAATGCAAAGGCTTATGGGTAAACAATGACACGCTATGGCCAACTGATGCATGCGCAGGTGACGACTCCCCCGCATCTGGATTCACAAGCTAAATCTGAATGTAAACTTGAAATCCATGACACATGCACCATGGTAAACTTATCCCGTACACCAGTGGCACAGACACCCCCCCCACCACCACCACCACCACCACAATGGTAGAAGAAACTCAGTCATATATTAGTAAAATTCATTGAGGTAACTCTGACGAGTTTTAGTGTTATTGGTGAAAAATGTAACTTAATTTTCAGGTTATTTTATGAAAATGTTGTTTGTTCATAATCTATACATATTAAAAATATTGATAAGAAAATTGGATCAACATGTCTAATGGAGTTAGCGCTTATGTAAAACAAAACTCATTTAAAAACTGAAATACTGTGGAATACTTTATTTTCGCTGGAATTAATTTTCGCTGAAAAGGCATTTTGGACGTTTTGCTTAAAATTTATTTTCACTGATTTTTGATGAGTTTAATGTGAAATATAGGAAAAAAAGTATATTCGCTGAATCATTCTATTCACGAAAATAACGAAAATAAAATCCAAGCGAAAATGAAGTATTCTACAGTACATCTCAGCCATGTGATGAAAGTTGTCAATAATTAATGTCCAGTCTAGTCACATTCTTTCGACGCATGGGTTTTACAAATGTGAACATCCAACTTGTTTCACACGATTACAAAGTCTATCAGTGGATAAAAAAAAAACAATCACTGAAGCATAAGCGACTTCAAATTATCTTGCAGAATAGTGTCCTTAACAGCTTGAAATACAAATTTAATATTCTCAGTGTCTATTGCAGTTGTAAAATGATGAAACAACGGCTTAGTGCGCTCTCTTCTCCTTGAGTCAAACATATTTAGAATAAAGTTTTGAACATCGGTGAGACCGTGAGGGTCTCCTTGGAAGGCGGGGAAATAGTCCAATATGCTCACATGCTTCACTTTGCTCTCCAGCAAGTCTGTTTTGTTAAGGAACAAGATGATCGAAACCTCGCAGAATGATTTGTTATTCACGATTGTTTCAAAGATATTACACGATTCCACCAGTCGGTTTGTCACCCTGTCCTCCATCAAGACCTGATCAAACTCACTTGACGAAACCAGAAACAAGATTGAAGTGACTCCTTCAAAACACATGAACCATTTTTGCCTTTGCGATCGCTGACCACCGACGTCTACAAACTTGAACGGTATTCCTCTGATATCCATGTTGTGCTCTACAATTCCTTTCGTGGCCTTGCGAGAGTGTAGGACATCCAACTTGGTTGGCAAGTAATCCTGAAAAAGAGATGTTCACTCAATGATAAATATATAACAGAGATAGGAAAACAGAGACCGAGTATGTTGTCATAAAAATTCAACCATTTTTGTGGGTCACCATTTTATACCGAAAAAAAAAGCATGTCAACTGAAATAGATCCACTGTTTGAGATGCAGTGTGAAAGCAATTTGCATGCAATCGATAGAGATCTACCAAATGCACCAAGACAAAAGTTTTCTAGCTTTTTTTTTTATATTTTTATATATTGACTAAAATTAGAAAATTGGGTTGTCAAAAATGAGCAAATCTGTTTTATCCATATCAAATTCTGTGCTGTTGTCGTTATGTAACTTAGAGTGGCTGCCGACCAATGAGGGGGCTTTGCTGCAAAAATGCTCCCTTGGGCCTACAAATCTGAATATCAAACTTGGTCAAGGTCAATATTTCTATAATAGTGTTTTTCTTAACTAATCATTAACGATTTTCGCTACTTTGCAAAAAGTAGAATGATTGCATTCATGCAACAAATTGAAATATGTTCAGGTAATTTATATTAATGAGTAACATGTATTCTTAAACAGAACAAAAGTTTTGCCTCTAGTTATCACCAGCGTCAGTTTGAATCGCACACATTTTGTCAATTGATGAAGTTTGCCATGCATAAGAAAATGTTTGTTTTCTAATTGACGATCACATGTTTTTAAATGATGAAGGTCTTCTATGAACAATTCATGGTTCAAATAAGTCATAAAAAATATATATAATAAATAAATAAGGATACTGAGGTATAAAGATATTCTTGTTCTACCATGCAGTACATGAGATTTTTTTTTTCATACATCAATTTCATTGGTATTATGCCTGATATTCATCTTACAATGCTCGAAGCGATAAGTTTTTAGTCTAGATTTAAAAAATGTTGACACTGGGACCAGAATTTCCACACGAAAATGGTGAATGGTTAGCGAAACACCAAGCAACAATGGTATTTTTTTCATGCAGTATCGTATTTAACTAAGAAGAAGGAAAAATGACAAAAGACATTAATTTACCTTCTTGCCAACACGATCAGTTTCATCAAGGAAGTATTTGACAGAATCGCCCTGTAAGAAAAATAAGACAAAGTCAGGGCTTGATGATCTACATGTATGTCAACATAGTATATGTAGTTGAGTTTATGAACATTGACAGACTGCCTTATGTATATATAGTGCCCCAAATGTGGACTAAATGTACACAAACTCACACATACACCCATTGATGCATGATGTCCTTAACATTAGAAGTTAAAATTCTGCATGCCCTGGAGTCAACCATTGGGGAAGCAAATATTGTGAATGTGTTTACAAATTTCATTTGCTTACTGTCAATTACATTTGATTGTGTATTATTCATTTCTATATTGGGCAGTAGACTTGACTAGCACAACTTGTGTTAATTTCTACTTTCCTGTTATTTCATATTTACATTTTACACTTACACTTTCTTGTATAAAGTTATATTTATTATATTTACTTTCATTGTATTTTTGATTTTGTTTTGTATTTATAAATTATTAATGTACTTTGGCAAATAAAGAAAGAATTAGCAAAAACAAATGAAAACTCTGATCAGCAAAATGATCTCTGTATAGATTTAGTCACCAAAATAATTCATCCACGATAACCTGAATGCATTCACAGATTCATTGCATGAAAAGAAATTTATGCAAAAATTAAAAATGTGGACACGACAAAAAACAATTAGTCGTTTTTTTACACGTAAATATTGTTTCCAATTAAAAATCAATATTTCAATAATCAACAGTTGTAATTTCATAACAAAATTTGCAAGATTTATACAAACAATACTCAATGTTTATATGACAAATATTGTGGATTCTGGTCCAACTACAAATAATGGGAAAAAATTGGTAACAGTTTTTTTTAATGTTTGTCTATAGGGTTGGTTTGCTGTTTGTATAATTGATGAGAGTCAAGACATCTGATTCATCTCAGTAATGTACAGTACAGTTCTGGTGTAACTCAACTTCCAAGCTGATAATTGACTGGTTTTGACTTTTTTCTATAAAATTAAAAATCTACAGCAAGTATCATAGCCATCAATAATTTCAACTTGTTCTTTGTAGTATTTACCCATGTTACAAAGATGAGACATGTTTAGCCAGATTACCCTGTGCAATTTAATTATGCGTCAGTTTTGAATGCTAGCTTTAAAGTACCAAGAGCTCCTATCTGTTCTAGATTGTTGTCCATTATTTGTATGTAGTCAAAATATTACCTTGTACTAACCCCACTGATTTTATTATATTATTTTTGTTTGGAAAACACACTTTTCATTTTCAGGTCACATTCAGCCAGCCAGCATTGGCCATACTGCACAGCTCAAAATTTGCTTACTAGTATCTCACTAATGCCAAGCATGCCAACTCGTACAAGCATTCGTACAAGCATTCATACAAGCACCTCATTAACGTTAGCTTTGTTTTCATGCAAATGGAAAGAACGATGAATAATAGTTAAAAATTTGTTTTGATCTAATTTAGTATTTATTGTTTATATTGATATACTGGTAGGTAAATTATATTATACCTCTAAAATGTTTCTGGCCTTTTTTTTTTCTAAAATCGCTCAATTTTATATTATTTTTTTTGAAATTGTCATTAAATTGATATGCTGAATTTTTCCTTAAATCCTGATAAAACAACAACAAAAAATATTGCTGGTATACTCACATATGTAAATGACATGAGTGACTTTGGGAAGCCTAACTACTAAGTATTCTCATAACTATTTATTAATTTAGTTTGCAGAGAACACTGGACAGCAAAAGAAATTTCAGAATGTTCTATATGCACTAATAGTAGCACATTCACATACGAAAATGATAACTGTAAGTCTATGGTCAAAATCAGTTATATTTTAATGATCCAGGATAAAATTAATGTGCTTATCTGTTAGATGTGCGAATCTAATAAAGCAAATACGATAATAACAAAGCTTAGGAAGAAATTATTTCAGGATATACTCAATATGCTCTTGATTTCTTGATAGTTTGCACAGAAGGTCCAGCACCAGACAAGTCAAAATATACAAAAGCTGGTGAAATGGAGGACACACTCACCCTGTCAGAACATGAATGACCTTGGAAAGATGCTTTAAAACAATACATACATAATGGAACTAAAAACATTTAAAAATACGTCTTGGTGTTCTCGTTATTTGCAGAACTATATTAATCAATTATTTGATGTCCATTATTTCCTCACACCATAGACTGTACGGAAGGACATTCAAAGAAAATCAATCTGCAAACCTGGTTGCAAAATCTGTCAATTTACAACTAGATGAAGCTTGATCAATTGAGTTTCATTTTTGTTGTTTGCGCAGTTACATTGTACAGTTAATTCAATATTTTCTGTTTTTCCACAATCAAAGTTTAAATTAAATCTGAATTGTTGGAAGATAAATGAACTCCAAAGTTATTGTCTACCCCTGTGATATCATTCACTACAAAACAATAAATGTATGCTGTATATCGCAAAACTGTTGATGATTTCATGGTATTTGTAAAGACTAAACTTTGTGAAAGTCGCTTACACTACGTCGTAGGACCCTAGAAACATTTTCACTGATACAAAATTTCATGGTTTTCATTGACTTGCAAAATTTGCAAAAATGTTTCACTTGCGAAATTAACTTAGTTTACAGTACTGGCAGTGCATACTGTCACAAACTGTCCGAATTAAAAGGTGCACACCAGTTTTAGCAACGTTTTGAGCGATGTACATTGATGGGTTTGAAGCAGACATGCACAAGTTCGCTCATGTTTGCCCCATCCACACAGCAAACTATTCAAATTGACATACTATAATTAGGTTCAATGTCCTTTTGTTTTATTCTTCAAATATGTAGATCCTATATTGTTCCATTAATATTAAAGCGAGAGGGTTGTCACCTGTGCACGTACGGGAATTGAGTCCCAAGCGACGATAACAACACACGCTAAGAACGCAAAGGCTCTTGGGTAGATGCTTGTAAAGAATGACACACTATGGCCATTTGATGCATGTGCAGGTGATTTGAGTTAAAGCAGTGTGGTCATCCTCGGCGCACACATGGGAATGGAGTCCTAACTGACGATAACAACGCATACTAAAAATGCAAAGGTAGAGACTTGTTTGTAATCAAGAACACATTGTGGCTGTCTGTCGCATGTGCAGGTTACAACTCCCTCATTTTAAGTGAGAATTAACTCTGCAATAAACGTAAAATTTAGTCCATTAGCTGTTATATTGCATAAGACTATGTACAGCAACGACCAATTGTACACCAAGGATCAGCAAATTCAAGAATCTTTGATGAAACTGCATTATCATCTTTGATGTCTGATAAAAAAAAAAAAATCCCAGGTCACAGATTTCTAACACGTTGCCTGCTGAATGCTTACCAAAATCAGTGGGCATGTCAGCAGGCAATGCATTAAATTATGAGTGAATGTAACTGTACACAGATCTATAAAAATCTAACAAGTGACAACTCTCCAATCACCCATGACATGGTGGCCTGATCTATGCTCTATTGAAAAATACAAAAGATGAGGGTGTGGAAGAGTTACACGCCTTTTTAAAAATAACATTCGAGTATCTTTCACTTCACATTCTATTGCTTATACATGTACTGGAAAATACTGCTTTCTTCCCAGTATGCAAATAATTATTCAGATTTTTTTTTTATTGATATGCTTAACAAAACAAAGATACAATACACAAATACATTACAGGTTACTACACAAATACAGACTTATGCTTCAAAATAATTAATGAATTCTCCCCATTTTTTATTGTGACTTCCCTGTCTGTTTTCTATAATTGCGACTTTCTTCTCTGTATGATAAATTAATTTGATATATGATCTAAAACCACCAATGTCTGGTTTTGTCCCAACAATTTTACATTTAAATATATAATAGCGTGTCAATAATAACATAGTATTATGTAATGGTCTAGCATTGTATACATCCCCCAAAATACATGTTACTGCCCTTAACGTCAAAGTATCACCTGTAATGAAAAAAAAAACATTCATTGACTGATGTCCAAAATACAAATACATATCTACAGTCCCAAAATAAAATGAAAATAGTCTTCCTCAACTTTTTCTCCACAAAAAGAACACAGGGGGGAATCAATTAAGCCCCACAAGCACAACAACCTGTTTGAAGGCAATATTTCCATATTAATTTTATATTGAAAATAGCGTAATTTGGCATCGGTAGTAATAGAAAAGGGAGCAAGATAAATATTTTGCCAAGGTAAAGGGGTGTTCAAAATGTCCAGCCAATATTGCTGTATAACTGAGGGGGTTAAATCAGGAAATTCCTCATGGCAATACCAAAGATAAATATTTTTATTAACCTTAGTTCCTGACAGCCAGATATTGTTATACATGTTTGGTATACAGACCATTAGTTTTGACATGTTAGATTCAACAATACTGCGCTAGTTTGATGGAATTGCTGATAATAACTGTCGATATTCAAATTGAGTACATGTATTCCCGTAGTTTGATAACAAATCTTGAAACGTGTAAAATGTACAGTCTGCATTTAAAAGATCATTAATAAATATTATACCGTGTTGTATAAAACGTTTCCAGGCAACAGTCTTGTTGTCAATAAGAATATTAGAATTATTCCATATAAGTTCTTGAAGTATATTTTCTATGTTACTTACTGCAACCATGCTGAAATTATATCTTACTGCAACCAGTAATTAACTTACTGCAACCATGCTGAAATTATATTTTTTTAAAAACTTTATCGAAAAGGGTTGACCTTTAGTAGGTCTGGTTTACCCAGCTTAGCGAAGTAAACCAGAGCACCACCAAAGTCGGAGAGAAAGTATTTAAATATTTTACTACAAAAGGAAGTATCATTATGGTAAATACGCGGAATCCAAGCTGCTTTCAAAGCTTTATTGAATGCTTCTAAATTAGTAAGTTTAACACCACCCTTCTCATATGACTTGTACAGTACATTTCGTTTAACAAAGTCTCTCCTACCACCCCAAATAAACGGGAAAACAATATTTTCATATTTCTTA